TCCCTCCGATTTTTATGGAAATGTGCGATATCTACTCCAGTATGTTACGGCAGTATGCCGATATCTCATTCCAGTATGTAATGGCAGTGTGCGGATTTGGGACCAGGCCCTCAAGTGCTTACCACATAAAGTATTCCCTCCATATTTGGGGTGATACATTACAAGACCTACTGTGGATAGCAGCGAACCCTGATATATTTGTTGTTTTTTTGTTTACATACATACCTAAGATAGTTGAATTATGCACAGTAAGATATTACCAGCATTACATAATAATAAAATACATTGTACATTATTATACTTCACAAATGGAAGATTCATTCTTGCTGTACATCTTAGCAACCTCAGCATATGATTTTTTGGTGTTGTATTAAGTTGAGAATTATCACTTTTTCATTGATGGGAAACGCTTCACGGCTTCTCTTCGGCTTTGAAGGACTGCCACCATCACTACTTTAGTACCGTGGTGTCATTGTTAAACAAAATTAAGTTATTTTTGAGCCATGGTGAGCTGAAAACTGAAACCGCGGAAGCCAAATTTGCAGATACGGGGGTTCTAATGTATGTACAATATTTTCATTTATATTTCTCCTCTGCTTTGAAGTACTTATTTAGGTCTTTGAGGCATTCCCATTAATTTAATATTAGCTATTTTTGATGATATAATCATTAACCTAAAATTGAGTACCAGTACAAGTATAGTCTGACTTTAGGGTTATCCTAGGTAATTTACACTATGTATGATAATTGTACTTGTGTGTACAGGTGCCTAAATAAGCTTAAACATTTTGGTATTGTCCTGTTCCTATGTTCATGTGCATGCATACATGTGTTCATGTGTGCACGCACATGTGTACATGCACACGTGTGTTACCATTTTGTCCTAGGCCTGTTGTGCGTGTGTGTTAGTTACCATTTTGTCCTAGGCACATGTCGATTAGACACTAGGCCTGTGTGTGTGTGTGTGTGTGTTGTTTGTTTTAATGGATAGAGGTGGTAGATACCAGTTATCAGACACTTGTTGATAGATACTTGCCATGTTTTGTTTGTATGACGAAACATCAAAGTGTAGTGCACATGTCAGTAAATTGAGAAAAGACACGTACAGACAGAAACAAGTGTAGAGAGACTATATTTATATCTACATTTGAGGTTTTGGTTTATACTTTACAGTAATCAAATTTACAGGTCAAATGTATGTTAGGGGAAAGGTTGTCACCATACTAAACAAGAGATGAGTAGAGTAGCTGGACACCAGGTTAAGTAGCTTGCATGCACTTCTGGTTGTGTGAGATATAAATACAAGCTGATAATCAATAATCAACCGATAATCTAACTTCATCATTAGACAAACAATAAAGACAAAATATGATCATTTTTATATTTTATCCTCAGGTAAATGTTCGGGTTACCACCATGGATGCGGAGCTGGAGTTTGCAATCCAGCCCAACACGACCGGCAAGCAGTTGTTTGACCAGGTGGTGAAAACCATTGGCCTTAGAGAGATTTGGTTCTTTGGCCTGCAATATGTTGACTCCAAAGGATACACCACATGGCTGAAGCTCAATAAACGGGTAAAGTGATGAATTATCTTTTATTTTTAGAAGCTATAATACAGTACAGTATAATACTGAGCCAGGAATGATGTGTACCGACAGCACTGCCTGTGATGGCCAGTCTGTATTGGTAGGATAAGGATGGCGAAAGAAGCCAAAACAGGTGAATATTTCTTATATTAGTACACCTACCATCCGACTTACGACCTGCTCAACTTACGACCACTCGACTTACGACCGTGTTTTTTATGCAAAATTTCTGGGAAATAAACAACTATTTGTGTTGTACACAGAGTTTATCCTAAACCTTACAGTATAAAATACAGTACTAACAACATAAAAAGTAAAGTAAAACATGAAATACCAAAATAAAACAATAAAATAAAGTTATTACAAAAATGTTTTGTTGATATTCAGTAGTAAAGTTCGACTTACGACCATTTCGACTTAGGACTGGTTTATCGGAACCGAACTCGGTCGTAAGTCAGATGGTAGGTGTATATTCATTACCTACAGTGTACAGGCATACTTTGCAGTACAATAAGTTAAGTTCCAGACCACTGCCATAAAGCAAATCACAGCCTTTTTTCACCTCCCAGTGCCTATAGAAGTCTAAAAATGTGTTTACACTACCATTTATTAATGCACAATAGCACTAGGTCTAAAAAAAAAAAGATGCAAGAGTAAAAATAAATAAGAATTCTCCTTCATTGAAAACCATCTTAAGAGCAATGCAAGCGCTAACAATAATAAATATGAATATAATTGAAAAGTGCTGTTATAGCATAGCTCTCTAAAGCGAGGTATGCATGTAAACATGTATGCCATGGTACTGAGTGCCAACAAGTGCATGAGTTGCCTCCTTTTCACCCTCTGCTCCCCAATTCAGTTCAAATGCCCTATTTCCACAGACTTGACACCAGAGTCAGTGCCAGCCAGTAGGTATTAAAACTACCTTCATTGGGTATTAGATACCAGAAGCCTTTTAACCCTTTGACTGTTTACGCTGTATAAATACGTCTTACGTGCCACTGTTTCTGACATGTATACTCAATAATTTTAGCGGCTTCAAATCAAGCGGGAGAAAGCTGGTAGGCCCACATGTGAGAGAATAGGTCTGTGTGGTCAGTGTGCACCACATAAAAAAAATCCTGCAGCACACAGTGCGTAATGAGAAAAAAAAAACTGATCGTTTTTTTTATTAAAACGCCGACTTTGAGGTGTATTTTCGTATAGTATTTATTGCTGTATTCGTGTTTTCATGATCTTAGGTGATAAAATGGAAAGCATATTACAGAAATAGAGATGATTTTCATTACTTTGACGATGTAAACGACCTTGAAACTGAGCTCAAAGTAGCGGAAATGTTCGATTTTTACCAATGTTCAGGAGTAAACAAATCACACCACGCGTCCAATACACATCAACTGGGGAGTCTAATATTCTTTCACTAGTGCACTGATATTATTTATACCATTTTTACAATAATGCAGTAGTCTGCATAACAATAAATTTTGTATTTTTTTGTATGAATAAAAAATCAAAATAGCAAGCAATAATACAAGAGGGGCCTAGAGATGTGACTAATGAACAGAGGATATGTTATTTTAGTGCCAAGAATGTCTACCTTGTTTTTTCTGTGTGAAATTGGCCAAATTGCCAATTTCTGACCACTATATTGGGTAGTTCAAATTGGTAAATGGGCGGTTTCTTGTACTCGGCTGATAGATAAAATGGAGTTCTAAAGAAATAGCTATGAGTTTGGTCAACTGGAACAACGGAATTGGCTGAAAACAGGGCTCAAAGTTGGCGAAATCGCCAGTACGCATATGTCGCTGAGACTGCTAACTTTGCGGGAGAGTAATTCCGTGAGTTTTCGACCAAATTTTGAACTTTTGGTGTCATTACCATCGGGAAAAGATTCTCTATCATTTCATAAGAATTTTTTTTTTTTTTAAATTTATCGACATAGAATGACAGTTTCAGAAAGGGGCCTGCGACAGTCAAAGGGTTAATAATTCTGAATCAGTCTAAATTAAACATGAATAAGTGGCAAGAATTACCAGGAAGCCTTACATAAAATGCCTAAATTACATCTGAATTTGTCACCGAGGGCTTTTAACTACTGGTGAGCCACAAATCTATAAATTAAACTTTTTATAAAATGACCAAATAAACAATTGTCAGAATGTTAATGAACTAAATCTGTAGTGTAAAGTAAGTTTTAAATGTACCAGAAGTATATTGTGGGATATGCAAGGAAAAGTTACGTGTGGTATGTGCATAGTTAAATACTGCAGTTAGCAAACAAAGTGAGGAATGTGTTGCCGGCTCTGTGAGAGAGATGAAGGAACTGTACATGTTTAACCTAAGTAATGAATATTAACAAAGAGTACAAAATGTTTTTCTTGGAGAAATTACTGAATATTTATATACAGTGGACCCTCAGTTGTTGTAATTAATACATTCAAGAGTGTGTGACTAAAGCTGAATTTGACAATTACTGAATTCATTTTCCCCGTAAGAAATAATGTAAATTCAATTAATCCGTTCCAGACACCCAAGAATATTAAAAAGTTTATATAATTTTTTTACATGAAATGTACATTTACCTACACAGAAAACAATGAGACATAAAGAACAAAACAATAATAACATGACACTTACCTTTATTGAAGGCTCTTCTTAGTGTATTGAAGATGGGAGGAGGGGAGAGGATGGAGAAATTATTGTATGGAAAGGGAATCCCCTTCCATAAAGACTTCAGGTACCAAGTCCTTCCCTTCTTTGTTTTTTTAATGCCACTAGGACCAGCTTGAGTCACTGCACCCGTTGCTCAAAAAAGTGTTCCTGAGAGGTCTGTTTCTGGCGTATGATACGAATTGTGGAATCAGCAAGGGTGAGTATTTGGAGACAGGACAAGATAGTCCTTCAATATGACACTAATATAAACTCTACGGCTTATTTATCTAGCACAGTTCATCTAATATGACATAATAAACAATATTAATAACATAGAAACATAATACATGCTCTAGAATGAATAAAATATGACATTACATATATGTTGAGTGTTGTTGTGTTTGTTGTTAGGTGTATAAGGGCATCTGAAAGATAAGCCTTACATAGCGGTGGTGATGGCGGCAGCAGAGGTGGCGGTGTTAGTCAGTAGCCCTATATATCTCCAACAACATTGGAGGAGTCAGTTTCTTGCTGTCCTTTTTCTATCGATTAATCGCTTAACTTACTTGCTACACTTAATTGCTAGCCTTTATCGACTTCTGCTGCTTTACTATCGTACGTATTGCACAATCACTGAAGAAGGCACATTCTCCCCTCTCAGCCCTTTACCAAAGGGCTGGGTGGCACTAAGAACTTTCTTTGGGCCCATGGTGGCTTATTTAGCAGTTGCAAGCACTGAAAAGAATGAAATAATACAAAATGCATTGTATGAATGCGTGGGATCGTGCTCACTTGCTGATAAACAATGGCTCACTGAGTGTCAGGCCGCTGTTGCCGTGCAGACACATTAGGGATGAATGGCTATTACCGAGCTCAATGACGATCACCGAGCCAATATTTAGACGAAAAGATGTTACGATTTCCGAATATTACGAAATCCGATGACTACGATATCCGGGGGTCCACTGTAGTCGCTAAAAAGTGAAGAGAAAAACTGAAGACAAATTATATAGTAGTGACAAGTTTGAAACAAAGGTATGGAGCAACACAAATGAGATGAATGGTGATACATAATAGCAGAACACTTGTCTAACTAGAACAAGAGTTAAAATTGCAAAACACGAGATAGAGGGAATGTCCCAGAAACCATTTTAGTAATCACAACTGAAGAAAAAAAGAAGTGTGAAAGGTGTAGGTACCATGCCAAGAAAATTTGTAACTACCAGGTATGTATATCAGAAAGTGATACATACTGAAAAAGGTAATGTCACTTTGCTAGAGAGTGCATGTATTTTTGCCCAGAAATTTGCATATCATACTGATAGACAATGTTATGACCTGAGTTATCAAAAGCTACATGTGCGACAATAATATAAAATCATTTATAAAAAAGCTGGAAATAGTAAACAGCAACAGCAAATTTTTAGGGGGAGGGATACCATGAGAGGAAAGAAAGAGATACTAAGAGGTGCACACACATACTGTAAAGGAATACAGAGAACCAGTTTTACACACACACCAGGGCTGAACATACAACAGCTCATTTTAGGCAGTACTGAGGAGGGGGGGACTGAGAATATGTACACTGAGAGCTATTTTACATAATAGTAAAGTATGAGAAATACTGTACTTGCAAAATCCACACCAATCCCTTACATTCCATGTTGTAAATCTCCTCTCCACTAACTTTTCCAACTTGAATGGTTTGAAACTTAAAAAAAAACAGTTAACTTTATAAATGGGTCCTTTACAGAAGCATATGCTGTGTTTGGAGTATTCACAGAGACATGGACAAGGGATGTTTTGGAGGGTGAGATGGGTAAAAAAAATACTAAACTAGTGCTGGGAAGCATTATGACCCAACAGATATATACTCAAACCTACTAGAAATGAAAATACAGTACTGTATTTTCATTTCTAGAAGTACTGTACACTATATCTTCACAAACAATGAGGAACTAATCAGACATAATCTCGAGTACAATCTACACCCTTGTATCCGCGGGGGATACATTCCAAGGACCTACCGTGGATAGTAGCCACCTCTATTTATAAGTCCTGTACATACATGTTATCTGTACATACATGTTATCAAGTTCAGTTGATAAATTATGCACAGTAAGTAGAGAATTATCACTTTTTTAATGATGGGAAGCACTTCACAGCTATTTAGGCTTTGAAGAACTGCCAGCTTCTCTACTTTGTGCTTTGGGGCCATTATTATGCAAAATTAAGAGGTATTTTAGGGCCACAGTAAACCATGGATAACTGAAACTGCAGATACTGAATCAATGGATATGGGGGGTTCTGCTGTACTTGGATTGCAACCTCACAGAAGTATGTACGGCCTCCTCACTTGGCGACGTACTCGTTAACCGATGATTCGGGCTCTCTGACCAGTATGCATAACTACATAATATGTATATTAGAGCTGATTTCCTCTAGTGCGTTAATTACAATATGCTGTACACTACTGTATAAATATTTAAAAATATACTAAAAATGTTATAAATGGTGCAAGGTTGACAGTAACCCTTTGGCTGCTGGTGTCGTGTGTGTACGTCTTACGAGCCAGTGTTGGTGATGTATTAATATGAAAATATTCTAACGGCTTCAGATCAAGCAGGAGAAAGCTGGTAGGCCCACATGTGAGAGAATGGGTCTGTGTGGTCAGTGTGCACAGTATAAAAAAAATTCTGCAGCACACAGTGCATAATGAGATAAAAAAAAAAATGCCAACCGTGTTTTTGGATTAAAACACCGAATTGAGGTGTATTTTTGTATAGTATTTATGGTTGTTTGCTCGTTTTTTTTTTGTCTCATTTGATAGAATGGAAGACATATTACAGAAAGAGATGATTTTGATTGGTTTCACAATGATAAGGACCTTGAAATTGAGCTCTTAAGTTGCGGAAATGTTCGATTTTTGCCGATGTTCAAGAGTAAACAAATGACGTCACCGTCCAATAAGTGTCCAACTAGCCATTTTAATACGCAGTCACGAATGGGTTGACATTATTTATACAGTTATTGCAGTAATGCAGTAGTCTGCATAACAGTAAATCTTCTATATTTTGTGTGAATAAAAATTCACAATAGAAAGTAAGAGTAATATAAGAGGGGCCTGGAGATATGACTAATGAACAGAGAAAATGTTATTTTAGTGCCAGGAATGTTTGCATTGTTTATTCTGGACCCTATTTCAAAATTGGCATCTTTTTTAATTTGTGTGAAATTGGCCAAATTGCCAATTTCTGACCACTTTATTGGGTAGTTGAAATCAGTAAATGGGCAGTTTCTTGTATTCATTTGATAGAACAAATGGAGTTCTAAAGAAATAGCAGAGTTTGGTCGACTGGAACAATGGAATTGGGTGAAATTACCGATGCGTATATGTCGCTGAGATTGCTAACTTTGCAAGAGCGTAATTCTGTAAGTTTTCCATCGAATTTCATACTTTTGGTCTCATTACCACCGGGAAAAGATTCTCTATTATTTCATAAGATTTTTTTTTTTTCAAATACATAGCGACACATTGACACTTAGGATTTGGGATCTCGACAGTCAAAGGGTTAAAGCAATATCAGCGATGGTTGAAATAAACCCACTACTATTACAGCATTCTCCTCGTTTAGCGACAAATTCATTTACCGACATGGTCTTAGTAACAGAACTCCGTTGTTAAGTAAGGAGAGGCTGTATAACCAAGGATTAATTCAAATATGAAGAACTCCAGAAATTGGCATGATATTTAGTAATTATAATTTCAGTCAGAGAATTGAATGGGTTAGTTAAATTCTTTGTAAACAAGTATGTCACAATGTGCAGTGCCTACACTCTGAAGGAAGGGTGGTAAACATTTGTGATAAAGCTGAGGGAAAGAAGAGGGGTTTTAGTATGAGAATTCGATTTAGCACATTTTTTTTTATATATAAATCTCTGCTATGTTTTCATTTTGGGAGCCATGCACCATGCCAAAAGAAAATTAGCCTATAAAAAGGATCACTAAGTTTCATAAGCAGTACAGAAAAGTGTTATTAGGATATTAAGGATATGGGTAGTCCACCAAGGGTTTTACTAATCCTAATAGCATTATGGAAAGTTACAATACTTCAGATACACAGTAAATTGGTTTTCTACCAGATTAAACTTTAAAGTACAGTAAGATGTACTGTACATGCAAACATGGGCTAATAGCTGTCTTCATCAACAGACTTTATCCTGGCGTATTGGATACTACTTGTGGCGATTCCCAAGGACTAAATTCAAAACAAAGTTTAACATTCACTGGGTAAGCCAGTAGATAATCTAAATTGCACATATTGCAAAGTGATCATGTGATTTTATATGTATCACTTCTAGGTAGTGGTAAATAATTGGCCTTGTTTGTATTATTGCCTCTACTTTTTTTTTTTTTATCAGAAAGCATGTATGTAGTTTGAGTTTGAAAACCTAGAAGTAACAATTTTACATTGAATTAGTCATTTATTTGTACATGAAAGCTTTTATTTTTTCCTTAAACTTTAGCAATATAGGTATATTCTGTATTCTGTACATGACTACAGTATGTTGTATACCATCATAGGACTTAAATTTCATATGCATTCATACACTTTCACAATAAATGATAATGATAGCACTGAGATATATTGCTCAGGAAATAAGAGGTAGCCAACAAGCTCAGAGATTGCATAGTGCTTACAAATTAGAAGGAAGAGGGGGCACATAAAACTACTGTATCAAAGCATTGAAATGACTAATGAGACAGTGATGGAACTCTTAATTGAATTTGAACCATCAAGAGAATTAGAACTAAATTAAATACCTTTATTGTGAATATTAAATGGATGGGCTGGAATATTATTTAAGCTACTTACCTTGGTCCTTAGCAGATTGGTAGTAACAGACAGTTGGAAAATGGCAATATTCAGGAGAGGTGACAGGTTAATGTCCCTAATGAGTATAATATGCAGATTGCTGGAGAAGATCTCAGACATTTTGATCTCTCCTTGATAATTACTAGGTTGAGGAAGAAACTTGAACATCTAAGGAGTACTTTACTGGAGTCCTAACAGGTACATATCACATTGGGAAAGCATGCTAGGGTAAAAGAAAAGATATTAACATGTACAGGTACAGAGGAATACTTGAACAAAAGAAAACGGTCAGTGTGATAAATGAAACTTCAGAAAAGTAATATAACTAGTGGAGCTCCATAAGGAACAGCGGTGTATGTAAACAGTAATATGATTCCAGGAGCTAACCCCTGTATACTTGTTGACAGATTATTATAAATTAGAGAGAATACAAATAGAAGATAATTGTAGAAGGCTGCAGGAAGACCTGGATAAACTTCATGAATGATCTGTTAAATGATTAATGAAATTTAACCCTAACAAAAACAAAATATTAAGCTGGGAGACATATACCAACTAGGAGGGAATTCTCATATAAAGAGTTTTAAAAAAAATGAATAACCATTACTTAAACCTGTTCTCTGAAGCCTTCATAAAGACAGTAATGTCAGCAACCAAAAGAGTAACACACAGGAACATCGACAAAGCTTATTCCAAATTCTTTGCCTGGTTTATACGTAGGTCTTTAACCCTTTGACTGTTTCGGTTGTATGTATACGTCTTACGAGGTACCGTGTTTGACGTATATATACTCATAAATTTTAGCAGCTTCAAATCAAGCAGAAGAAAGCTGGTAGGCCCACATGTGAGAGAATGGGTCTGTGTGGTCAGTGTGCACCATATAAAAAAAATCCTGGAGCACGCAGTGCATAATGAGAAAAAAAAAATGACCGTTATTTTTTTTAATTAAAATGCCAACTTTGTGGTCTATTTTCATATAGTATTTATGGTTGTATTCTCGTTTTCTTGGTCTCTTCTGATAGAATGGAAAACATATTATAGAAATAGAGGTGATTTTGATTGATTTTACTATAAAACGAACCTGGAAATGGAGCTCAAAGTAGGGGAAATGTTTGATTTTTGCTGATGTTCAAAAGTAAACAAATGATGTCGTTGTCCAATAAATGTCCAACTAGTCATTCTAATATGCAGTCATGAATGGGTTGATGTTATTTATACAATTATTACAATATTACAGTAGTCTGCATAACAGTAAAACTTCTACTTTTTGTTTGAATAAAAATTCAAAATAGAAAGCAAGAGTAATATCAGAGGGGCCTGGAGACATGACTGATGAACAAAGAAAATTTTATTTTAGAGCCAGGAATGTCTACATGTTCATTCTGGACCTTATTTTGAAATTGTCATATTTTTTAATTTTCGTGAAATTGGCCAAATTGCAAATTTCTGACCACGTTATTGGGTAGTTGAAATCTGTAAATGGGCAGTTTCTCGTACTCAATCGATAGAAAAAAAACTTCTAAAGAAATAGCTGAGTTTGGTCGACTGGAACAATGGAATTAGCCGAAAATAGGGCTCAAAGTGGACGAAATTGCTGATTTGTAAATATCGCCGAGGTCGCTAGCTTTGCAAGAGCGTAATTCCGTCAGTTTTCCATCAAATTTCTTTTTTTTTTCTTGGTGTCATTACAATCGGGAAAAGATTCTCTATCATTTCATAAGAATTTTTTTTTTTTAATTTTGCGACACCAGGAGACAGCTCAGGATTGGGGGTTGCGACAGTCAAGGGGTTAATTAGATGGATCTCGTCCTGACATGCCTGGTTTACTGAATAAGAGGACTACTGCAAGGGTAAAGTATCTTCGGACCATATCTAGTTAAAATTGTATAAAAGGGAGAGAAATGCTGTGGAATGTAAATAAAAAGGTGTGTCAAGTGAGGGAATGAATGACAAAGAATGTAGTAACTAAGCTTTATCAACAGAAGCAAGGTGTGCAAGAGGGTATATAATGTGTTAATGGTTCTGAGAATTATCACCCATGTGTCTCCAGTTTCTCCATTCAGAAAGAATATATTACAGTATTAAGGACTACATTTAACACTTTCACTTCATCATACCTAGATCTACATTATTGATGCTAAATGTTACTTGGTTAGATTTATGTTTGAAGCACAGCTCCCTCAGATGTGCTGCGAGTGGTAAATTCCCTACCATTTCAGAAGAATTTTTTTTTAAAGTGTACACTGAGAGCAAGCAATATTAATTTTGGGGGTTTGGTCAATGAAAAGGTTAAATGAGACAATGGTGGAAGGTGTTTTGGGAGTGGGAGGAGTTGGTGGGTAGGTGTGGCAGAAGGGGACCATGTGTGTACCAGACTTGGACTGGTACATGTATGGTGTACTGGGCCCTCCCTGTCTCCTCTGCTCTGTCCTGACACTTTGGGCATAAGCCTATGAAAGATAGGTTTACCCTGCTGCCAGGTACCAGTGCCTATGGATATTCAAGCTGCAGCCTATGCTTATATATCACTTAAACTTAGTGTGTTTAAACAACAAAAAGAAACCAAGGGAAGGTTGGGTGTGTTTTGGCATCTTGGAACGAATTACCATGAAACATGTAATTTGGGGTTTGTTACGATGATCTGGAGATAGGTCTCTGGCCTGGAGATGCTGCTCTGGTCTGGAGATACGTCTCTAGCCTGGAGGTGCATCTCTGGCCTGGAGATATATATATGCCATTTCAGAAGAATTTTAAATCTTGAAATTGTTTACACTTAACCCTTTCACTGTTGCAACCCCAGTTCTGAAACTGTCTCCCTGTGTCACAAAATACTCGGAAAAAATGATTTTTTCTTGTGAAATGATAGAGAATCTTTTCCAGATGGTAATGACACCAAAAGTATGAAATTTGGTGGAGAACTTGCGTAATTACTCTTGCAAAATTAACGATATCGGTATATATACGCATCGGCGATTTCGCCCACTTTGAGCCCTATTTTTGGCCAATTCCATTGTTCCAGTCAACCAAACTCATAGCTGTAGAACTCCATTTGTTCTGTTGATTTGAGTACAAGAAGCCGCCCACTTAACGATTTGAGCTACCCGGTTAAGTGGTCAGAAATTGGCAATTTGGCCAATTACATGCAAATTAAAAAAGATGCCAATTTCAAAATGTGGTCCAGAATAAACAGTGCAGACATTCCTGGCACTAAAATAACATTTCCTCTGTTCATTAGTCACATCTCCAGGCCCCTCTTATATTCTTGCTTTCTATTTTGAATTTTTATTCACACAAAAAATAGAAGATTTACTGTTATGCAGACTACTGCATTATTGTAAAAATGGTATAAATAATATCAGTGCACTTGTGAGAGAATATTACTCACCAGTTGACGTGTATTGGGCATGTGGAGTGATTTGTTTACTCTTGAATATGGCAAAAAATCAAACATTTCTGCTAGTTTGAGCTCAATTTCAAGGTCCTTTTCATGGTGAAACTAATCAAAATCATCTCTATTTCTGTAATATGTCTTCCATTCTATCAAATGAGACCACGAAAATGAGAATACAACCATAAATACTACACAAAAATACACCTCAAAGTTGGCGTTTTAATCTGAAAACATGGTCGGAGTTTTTTTTTTTTTTTTTTTTTTTTTCTCCATTATGCACTACATGCTGCAGGATTTTTTTTTTATACTGGGCACACTGACCACACGGACCCATTCTTTCACATGTGGGCCTACCAGCTTTCTCCCGCTTGATCTGAAGCCGCTAGAATTTAGGCGTATTAATGTGTCGGAAACACTGGCTTGTAAGACGTATATATACGGCCGAAACAGTGAAAGGGTTAATAAAAGGGGTCACAACAGTGACAGGGTTAAAGAAGCATGAGAAAGTAAATACTGCAAAAGTTTATTCTGAATGTGCATAGTAGTTTCTAAAATAAACCTTCACCTGCTATATTGCATGTTCATGAAACATGTAAGACTAGCATTTCTGCCAGTGCAGAGTATTTAAATGCCTTTTGTTATACACTCCTAAGGATAGTTACTACCCATTTTAACAATATTATGGGGAATAGATAAGGCACACAGGGATAGGATCATTACTACGGATGTGATGAGAACAAGAGGACATGATTGGAAATCATGATTCCAAATGAGCCTCAAGGACACTAGGAAACACTTCTCCATCATAAGACTTCGTACCATAAACAGTAGCTATGAGGAGATACAAATTTTTGCTGATACTGATACTCAGCTTTAGGCCAATACCCTCAGAATTTGTCATTAACCACGGTTTTAACTGGAGACAGTTTTGGAGTTGCTTTTCCTGCAGACTGGTGCCAGGCCAGGCTAGATTTTAGTGTTTCATGTAATCTGAATGCACAATACAAGCTGAAGAACGAGGAACTATTTAATAAAAATGTTATATGAACCACATTCCCACTGCCTTTTGTCAGCTGTAGTGGACTAAAGCACTTTTTACAAAGTTGACCTGGACTCTGGATGATATCTAACATCAACACAAGAGGGAGTGCAAGCGTACCTGAGCACTGGAGAAGGCAAACACGTGTCATACTGGGTATAAAGTGGTTTAAGTCTTATTACTGTAATGTAGGTTAAATGAGTAGGATGCTGTTAATGGTTAATGACCCTTCACAGAAAGTTTATTCTTTAAAAAATGTTTTGTTTTGATTATTACCTCTGTTATCAATGACTGTTATTTAGAATACAGTCATACAGCTATAACTGTATGACTTAAGTATACTCAACATATTCCCTTTGTGGGACATGAATCAGTTTTTTTTTTTTTTGTTGTTCTGTATATTGGTACTGTAAAAAAATTTTTACAGCAAAATTTGCTTATCCTATATAAATTAAGTGTGGTGTTTCATTTAAGCATGTTAGAACTTATGTACAGTACTGTATTTGTGCCACATTTGTCATATTCACTTGCTGGCAATCAGTTACCATTGTGATATAATTCCATCATTTTTCTACCCAAAGTATAATGGTGAACAGAGTGAGGTTTGGGGCTGCCATAGTGATGCACCCTGTTCCCCAAAGCAGTCCTGGCTCGTTCTTTCTCATTCTCATATCAGACATGGACAGAAGCATGAATCATAACACTATATTATCCTTGGCAGATGATACTAGAATCCATGTGAGAGTGCCATCCATTGAGGACATGGCAATTTGCCAAGCTGATAGAAAGTCATCCAGTGTGCCATTAGCAACACTATGATGTTCAGTGAGGCAAGGACAAGTTTGAACCACTCTGTTAAGGAAAGATCGAGGAAATAGACTGGAATGGAGTATAAGACCAATTCAAATCATTCAGTAGAGCATGAAAGACTTTGGAGTGATTGTGTCAAATCTCGGCTTCACAACAATGTCACCATATCACAGCCACAAGAAAAATAATAGGCTAGTTAACTAAAATCTTTAAAACAAGGGATACCAAGAAAATGATTCTCTGAAGTCTCTTTGTTTTCTCCAAGCTGGAGATTCATTGAAAGAATTTAGAGAAATGAAAGTTCATCAGCATTGTTTCTAAGGGTACTACTGTTTTGCTAGATTTCACTGTTTCATGAAATAGATGGTGGTTGGGCACAAACTGTGCTGCCTCCTGCCAATCTCAGGTGTGGTCTGTAGTGGTTGCTGGATATTTGTGGTTGGTGGTTGTGTGTGTGTGGGGGGGGGCAGGGGTGGCATGGGGTCATTGGGTTGTGTTGCATGGCTTCCTTCTGGGGCTGGCACCGGTGCCACCCAGCTCTTTATCTTACCAGCCACTGCTGCATGCATTGCTAGCTTTGTCCACGACCTACTGCCCATACCAGTGAAAGCATCGTCATCACTATCAGTTCCTGGAGTTGGATCCCGTAATCTACTATGTCCCTTGGTGATAACAATGAGGACGCTTCCAGACCATGTATTTAGCATTATAAATTAACACTTCAGAGGTGAATAATTATAATAACTATCATTAGATGCATCATCAGTAGCTAGGAAATCATATCTGTTCCCAAACCATGGTAGAATGTTAGATTTCCCTTACAGCATGGACATATGAATGTACTGAGCCTTGAAGAATAAAAAGTCATAAGATTGTGACTGGAACAGTAAACAAATAGCCCACACATAAGAGACTGAAATTTATAAAGACATTTCAGTCAGACTTCAGTCCAAGTCAGACCAAAATGTTGTCATAAGTTTCATTTTCGTATGTGCTGGTTATTTGTGCACTAAACCCTGAAAGAGATGATTGTTGATCACTGGGGTTTTCAGCACCATTTTCAGCATCCACTTGTCACTTCTGGTCACTTTATCTTTGAACCTGAAGAATTCATCCTTGTTGTTGGAGCTGTCTTTGGGAAATGATACCTGACATATTTGCCTTGGAGTGAAAGGATTGTCAGTGACGCATGGTGGACAGTGGTAAACTAAGATGGCATTCCCATGATGCACTGCAGTGGCTCCAATTTTTTCTATTCTTCGAACACTGTCATGCAGACCAGCTTTCTCATGCCTAGGCCTACTAGGTCTCTTGAACTAAATTTGAAAAATAGAATTTATGCATGGATGTATGTAAGTGACAGTGACTTCAATAATGTATACCTATGTGGGAGACAGTGACAGAATAAAGTAACTAATTTAGGAGATAGGGTTTATGCTTAAAGTAGCAAAAGCATATTTTAACACAATTTTTCTTGTGTAAATTTCCCTGTTTAAGTTAAGTTTCATTGTCCGTCATTTAGACCTATGTTGGTATCAGGCCCAGATGTAGCTTGAGACTTCCCTCAAAGTAGCAGAAATGTTAGATTTTTGCTAATTTTCCTGAGGATGGGTAATGACACCCCCCACCCTCTAGTCTTTTTGTTTTTTCGGGACATGTAAACCATGATGAATCATTGCCGGTTATATTTTTTTCAGAGAAATGGGGTAAATCTTTTTTTTTTTTTAATGTGAATATTGAGCACATTTTAATTTTGGGGTTTTGGCCAGTGAAATTATTAAAAATTACATGCGAAAATATCACAATCCTGTAGTGTGTAATATTGTGCTGAATTTCTAAATGGCAAAAATTATTTAAGAGGTAGACTAGTTTTCTCAACACATTTGTGAAGGTTTTGTTGTGGACATTTTTAAACTTTAGACTTTTAATGTTAAGCTTTAGACCTTTAATTTTAAGCTCTAATATTAGATTTGTATAAAGTATTGCTTTTCATAGCTAAAAGTATTACATGTACACTGTATTAGTGATGGGATGATGCCAAAATTAGCCAGTCCCCACCAGTATCAACATTAGCTGATATCTGCCAATATCACTGCTGATACTTTGGCACACCTCCTACTGTATATACTGTATTTTGATTATTTAAATAATTATTCATATGCTAACTAAATCACTGTATTACCTATTGTATTTACTTGTTCATTTATTAGGAGTAATTTTTTTGTTTGTTTTTTGTTATACAGGTTTTATCCCAAGATGTGAAAAAGGAAACTCCACTCCAGTTTAAATTCAGAGCTAAATTCTATCCAGAGGATGTGGCAGAGGAAATCATCCAAGATATCACACTGGTGAGTAATGCAGTTATCTTGTTCATACATACTAATGTTCATGTGGTAAATTTGAAATGAAAGTTCCAAATGTCCTAGCGATTGGAATTCAGTTTTACTTTGCATGTAACGGTAGTATGGCTCATCCAGTTGGTTTCAAGTTTTCATGAAGTTTTCAATAACTTGGATCAAATTCTTAGAACAATTGGCATTATTCACATGCTCTACAACTAAAAGTTGTTGAGCCCATTTCCAGCATCATGGAATAGCTTGGATAACTTTCAAAATTCTCAGTAGCATAGCTTCAGACATGCAAAAAAGTGTCAAAAAAAATAAGAAGACAGCAGAGTGAAATTCAAGTGTGCGGGTTCAGATTTGACAATTTTGTGTAAAATAGCACAGTAGCACCTCTTTACTCAAACTTAATTCATTCCAGAATGCTGTTCAAGTGCCCATCTGTTCGAGTACTGAATGAAGTTTTCCCAACCAGTTTTCTTTTTGGCTGGGTGTTATCACAAATCTTAGGCCCCCATGGTGATTTATTTATACAAATAGTATAGGTTGGTATAGTTGTAGGTTGGTAGACAGCAACCACCCAGGGAAGTACTACCCTCCTGCCAGATGACTGTGAAACAGAAACCTGTAACTGTTTTACATGATGGTAGGATTGCTGGTGTCTTTTTCTGTCTCATAAACACACTAGATAACAGGGATATCTTGCTACTCCTACTTACACTTTGGTCACACTTCACAGACACATGCACATGCATATATATATATACATACATCTAGGTTTTTCTCCTTTTTCTAAATAGCTCTTGTTCTTCTTCATTTCTTCTATTGCCCATGCGTGTCGTATGAGGCGACTAAAATGCCGGGAGCAATGGACTAGTAACCCCTTCTCCTTTAAACATTTATTAAAAAAGAGAAGAAAAACTTCATAAAACTGGGATGCTTGAATTTGCTTGGATGTAGTGCGGATGACAAGAAACAGATTGCTGATGTTATGAATGAAAAGAAGTTGGATGTCCTGGCCCTAAGCGAAACGAAGCTGAAGGGGGTAGGGGAGTTTCGGTGGGGGGAAATAAATGGGATTAAATTTGGAGTATCTGAGAGAGTTAGAGCTAAGGAAGGGGTAGCAATAATGTTGAAGGATCAGTTATGGAAGGAGAAAAGAGAATAGGAACGTGTAAATTCAAGGATTATGTGGATTAAAGTAAAAGTTGGATGCGATAAGTGGGTCATAGTAAGCGTGTATGCACTTGGAGAAGAAAGAAATGTAGAGAAGAGAGAGAGATTTTGGGAGATGTTAAGTGAATGTATAGGAACCTTTGAATCAAGTGAGAGAGTAATTGTGGTAGGGGACCTGAACACTAAAGTAGGAGAAACTTTTAGAGAGGGTGTGGTAGGTAAGTTTGGGGTGCCAGGTGTAAATGATAAAGGGAGTCCCTTGATTGAACTTTGTATAGAAAGGGGTTTAGTTATAGGTAATACATATTTTAAGAAAAAGAGGATAAATAAGTATACAAGATAAGATGTAGGGCAAAATGACAGTAAACCATACCCCGGCTGGGATTGAACCCGCGGTCAGAGTGTCTCAAAACTCCAGCCCGTCGCGTTAGCCACTAGACCAATAAGATTCGTCCAACTAGGTATATTTCTACACCATAGGAAGGTTAGCACAGGCACCACTGTGACCACAAATGCAAGTTTCTACAGACGAATCTCCAGCTAGCGTGGCCGTGACGAACTCAAGTCCCTTCACTGCCGTCAACATGACTCACGAAATCGTAATGACACGTTCGCAATCGTGTTATTACGATTTCGTGAGTCAAAATGACAGTAGTTTGTTGGATTATGTATTGGTAGATAAAATACTGTTGAGTAGACTTCAGGATGTACATGTTTATAGAGGGGCCACAGATATATCAGATCACTTTTTAGTTGTAGCTACACTGAGAGTAAAAGGTAGATGGGATACAAGGAGAATAGAAGCATCAGGGATAAGAGAGGTGAAGGTTTATAAACTAAAAGAGGAGGCAGTTAGGGCAAGATATAAACAGCTATTGGAGGATAGATGGGCTAATGAGAGCATAGGCAATGGGGTCGAAGAGGTATGGGGTAGGTTTAAAAATGTAGTGTTAGTGTGTTCAGCAGAAGTTTGTGGTTACAGGAAAGTGGGTGCGGGAGGGAAGAGGAGCGATTGGTGGAATGATGATGTAAAGAGAGTAGTAAGGGAGAAAAAGTTAGCATATGAGAAGTTTTTACAAAGTAGAAGTGATGCAAGGAGGGAAGAGTATATGGAGAAAAAGAGAGAGGTTAAGAGAGTGGTGAAGCAGTGTAAAAAGAGAGCAAATGAGAGAGTGAGTGAGATGTTATCAACAAATTTTGTTGAAAATAAGAAAAAGTTTTGGAGTGAGATCAACAAGTTAAGGAAGCCTAGAGAACAAATGGATTTGTCAGTTAAAAATAGGAGAGGAGAGTTATTAAATGGAGAGTTAGAGGTATTGGGAAGACGGAGGGAATATTTTGAGGAATTGTTAAATGTTGATGAAGAGAACTTTGTCCTTGGAGGCAAAGAGGGGAATGTATGAGAGTATAGTTTTACCAAAACTCTTATATGGGTGTGAAGCATGGGTGATGAATGTTGCAGCGAGGAGAAGGCTGGAGGCAGTGGAGATGTCATGTCTGAGGGCAGTGTGTGGTGTGAATATAATGCAGAGAATTCGTAGTTTGGAAGTTAGGAGGAGGTGCGGGATTGCCAAAACTGTTGTCCAGAGGGCTGAGGAAGGGTTGTTGAGGTGGTTCGGACATGTAGAAAGAATGGAGCGAAACAGAATGACTTCAAGAGTGTATCAGTCTGTAGTGGAAGGAAGGCGGGGTAGGGGTCGGCCTAGGAAAGGTTAGAGGGAGGGGGTAAAGGAGGCTTTGTGTGCAAAGGTCTTGGACTTCCAGCAGGCATGCGTGAGCGTGTTTGTTAGGAGTGAATATAGACAAATGGTTTTTAATACTTGACGTGCTGTTGGAGTGTGAGCAAAGTAACATTTATGAAGGGATTCAGGGAAACCGGCAGGCCGGACTTGAGTCCTGGAGATGGGAAGTACAGTGCCTGCACTCTGAAGGAGGGGTGTTAATGTTGCAGTATAAAAACTAGTGTAAAGCACCCTCCTGTCAAGACAGTGATGGAGTGAATGATGGTGAAAGTTTTTCTTTTTTGGGCCACCCTACCTTGGTGGGAATCGGCCAGTGTGCTAATAAAAAAAAATAATAAATATAAAAATAATAAAAAAAAAAAGCCAAAAAATGTGAAGAAACAAGAAAAAGTTTACAGTGAAGTTCTGGCAGGTCGTGTTTGTTTTGTCGAGTGCCGAGCAAATGATCAACTACCTACTGAGCGATTTTTTTTTTTTACCGAACAAAGCGTTCAAATCCCGAATTGTTCGAGTACCGAGGTACTACTGTATTTAATTTTTATTGACATTATATCACAGAGTAAGTTTGTTGTGCTGCCTCTGAATGGCTTAAATATTTAATGACTCTGCACGTTTTTGTACCTGTAAAATTTCCTTTGCATGCAGTCCGAGTTGTTGTTGATGTGGTAAAATAGTAAAAAACTTGGAATCTTTTTAATCCTTTCCATGACTGGAGAATGATTCATCTGATTGGCCATTACATGGCACCAGTTTTATTGAAAAGAAGTGATATTCATTTTTTATACAATAACTAACGAATGCTTCTTTTGACTGACTTAAAAATTTGAAATCTTACTGAAAATTAAAAAAAAAAAATGTTTGGATCAGGTTAATTACTGAAGAATTCCTTTTCTGATAGGCTTCAAACTTTTAGTGGGCATTTTTAAAACACAGCTTGTCACTCACTTAGAATGGTGTAAATTTCAGTTTGTCAGTTTTATTAAGCAAATTGTTTCCCATGTAATAACTAGTGAATGCCTCATCTGATCAGCCTCTAACCCTAAATGGTGATGTATCTAGGTAATAGGTATTCTTATATTAATTTTTAGCTCAGGAATGTCAGTTTGCAATCTTTTTGAAAATTTTAGAAAACTGTGTTTTTTTTTAGATCTAACAATATTTTTTCTTACTGGATTGTTAAGAATTTTAAGTAGAATGCCAATGTGAAAAAATAAACTGGAAAGAAAAAACTTGTGGTTCTTGGGGGTGTTTAAGTTTATTGAGGGGAGACTCCTCCTCTTTTTTTTTTTTTTTTTTTGTAACATTTTCAACAACCTTTTAGTTTTCTTTATCATAAATTTTTGTTTATAACTTAACACCTTATGATCAGCTTCAACATTTCAGTACTTGTGCAGTGTATCATGGGCAAGATTCATGGGTGTATTTGTCTGCATGATTGTCATATTCACAACTCTTGAGTAGTTTTCAGGGTGAATAAATTTTGGTGGCTGTTCTTGAGTTGAACTTTGTTGAATTCACATTTTTCAGCATTGTGTTAATCAAGTGTTTACTATACTAGGGAAATTATTATTATTATAATAGTATTTCAAGAAATTTGATGGGTTCTTCCTGACAATTCTTGATCAAGTAGTTTGTGTTGATTTCATTAAACTGCATGTTGCTAGCATCAGTAGCTTAAGTGATTAGGCCAGCAACCAGGATGGGCACATTGTCCCTAGGAACCATATCCATATTTACTTACAGGAAGGCCCTGTTTATAAAGCAGGTTAGGTTAGGTTCTGGACTACTTCTGTAAAGTGAATCATAGCCCTCCCCCCTCCTTTTTCCCCCACTTTCAGATGCATATAAAAGCCAGATAACATGTTTATGCAATCATGTATTAAGTGAGCACTATAGCTAGGCCTAATAGATACATATACAGTACATACATAACTTAAAATATTTTCATCCTTACAATGGTGAATATATTTATTGTAGGAAGTCTGAATAAATGGAAAATGGGTATAACTGAAAACCACTGTATCAGTGAAATGCTATAAAGCATAGCCTGCCTGTATTTGTGTGCTTGTAGCCTCATTCTCTGCAATAGCTTAATTGTAATACCAGACCACAGTAATCATTTTGTCACTTAAAAAATTTATGGTTGTATCACTTGCTACCTCACTTCATTTCATTGTTTCACTATGCATAGAAAACATTTCTAGTATACCGTTTTTTCTTAATTTATAACTATGGCCTCTATTTATAATGAGCTAACAGATGGGAGGGAAAGTTGGTGACTAGTAATAGTGACTGTGGTAAACAATTATTGTTTAGCCATGATCATCATAATGCTGGACAATTCTGTAACAAAAGACTTTGTCAGCTATTTCAGTGTGGGTTGACCCAGCAGATTTTCTCCTTTTGCCAACTTCCATTAAATCAGAGTTCATTTAATATAGGGTTTACTGCACTAAAAAGTATTTTTAGTGCAGTAAACACTGTCGGCCAGCTTGGCCATCCTCAAAGTTTTCATCTTTTTTTTTTTTTTTTTTATAGCTCTGGGAGCTATCTTGTAGTGCTTGATGCTTTATATATCTAACTAAAGTTATGGTGCTTGTGTATGCAAGTGCAGAATGCCTTAGCTGTTTGCATTCTGGTTGAGTATGGAGATCTTTTTTCAGACCATTTTCCAGCACACTTGGTTGTTTGATGAAACTGATGGAGACCATAGGAGAGACTGGTTTTTGTAATTCCCAGCTGCTTTTGTACAGATGGTAACCGGTGTGGTGTTGGTTGCACAGATGCCTACACACATCCCAGTACCAACAAAGCAGGGACAAACTAGGGTCCTAATCAAGTATAACAGACCTTCCAGAACTATTAGAGTAGAGTAATAAGTTGTCAGTCACAGTATGACATGTTTTTCAAAAGAGTGCAACCCCCCCCCCCCCAATCCATGCATGGCATCCATCATAAATAGTTTTTCATGCTTCAAAACTTTTTTTATTAAGGTCTTCCTGTACATCTAACTTGCCTAGCTAAGTATTTTTTTTTTTTTTAACATTTTTCTGTAGTATGCCTGTCATAAAAATTTATTGAAGCAAAAGAAAATTCATTTTGTTTGGTAATGTGAGTACTGGAATTAGTATGTGTTTGTCAGAGATTTGTGTGTAGTACTTTCGAATTCTCGTTACTGTATACCGTGGTACCTCAAGTTTCGAGCAGCTCCCAACTCGAACAGTTATGTAAGTGTATTTTTGTAAGTGCTTTTGTAAGTGTATTTTTGGGGTCTGAAATGGACTAATCTAATTAACATTATTCCTTATGGGAACAAATTCGTTCAGTATCGGCACTCGAACAGCCTTCTGGAACGAATTAAGTTCGTAACTCGAGGTACTACTGTATATGCATACTATGAGGTATGGAGATGCTTTTTTTAATAGTTGATACTGGAATAAGAGTTAATGTTCAAAAATTACTTACAGAGGTTGTTCTATCTACAAGTTAAGAATGCTATCCTCAGTGATGAAATTTACTGCCCTCCTGAAACATCTGTTCTACTGGCTTCATATGCAGTCCAAGCCAAATATGGTGACCAGAGCTCTGACATTCATAAGTCATTGACAAATGACCACCGACTTTTGCCACAGCGTGTAATGGACCAACACAAACTAACACGGGAGGAATGGGAAGAGAGGATCATCACCTGGTACCATGAACACAAAGGAATGCTCAGGTCAGATTCAGGTCATAGCTTAATAAAAGTTCTTGAGAGAGATGGTGATTTTTAATTAAGTTAGAAAAGATATATGTTTAGAGATTAAGTTAGAATGATGTGGAAGGAAGTGGATGTTGGAAATGGCTGAGAAATAGTATACACAAGTTGAATCAGAGCAAAAGAAACCTTGCATGATGGATGTATTTACACAATAAACAAGAAATTGGATGAATAGGGTAAAAAAATGGACAGGTTTAAATTATAAAAGTAAAATATTTGCATGTTAGCAATTAAATAAAGTTGTACAAGAGTGAGTAAGAGTTTGGTAGGAGTGGTAAGGAGGCTGGTTTGATAAGTGTGTGCAGGAAGATTGTTAAGTGAATGACTGTAAGAGAGTAATAAAGGGACAAAGTGAGGGACGTGGTAAACAAGGAATGTATGCAGATGAACAAGTTCATTTATAACAGTATGAGTATAAAGTCTTTATATAATTTATACTTTATATAGTATATACTTCATAGTTTCAGTGAATGGAAGTAAATTAAACATTGAATTTAAGTATTTCTAATTCTTTTAATTCTGTTAACTAAAGTTCAAATTGCTTTTTATTATTTTAGAGAAGATGCTATGATGGAGTACCTTAAGCTGGCTCAAGACTTGGAAATGTATGGAGTAAATTACTTTGATATAAAGAACAAGAAGGGTACAGAGCTGTGGTTGGGGGTGGATGCTCTTGGCCTTAATATATATGAAAAAGATGACAAGTAAGTTAGTGTGTGCTAAATGTTGCATTTTTGTTCTTGAACTTGCTCTGTTAATTTAATGGGAAATTAAGCAATGAAAAATTGAACTTAAAATAAGCCTTTGAATAATATGACTGGGTAAAATGGATTGACAAAGCTCCTGGAGAGTGAAATGTCGCCACAATAAAATGTCACATTAGTTGCACTTGTGACCTTTAACCTAACCTCAGTTAATTTATTTTATTAATATAAGATTTATTTTTCATCTTCATTTGTTTGTGTTTTTTTAAATAATTATAGTTGAGAGAAGGATGATGAAATTAATAGCAATGCTGACAAATGTATTATAAAGGTAATGAGATTGTTATTATTAATTTGTAAGAAAGACTGGACCCTTTTGAGCTTTCCCTGATGCTGGTCACTGTAATGGGGTGGTGTGGTTAGCTATTTGTACTTAGGTGTAGGGGTTTATTCTGGGCGGAGGGTGTCATTCTTCTCATCGGGTACCTGTCTAAGAACCCAGTATATATTTCAGCGTAAATTGTGGGAATATTACCCTTAGCCTTGTTCAGTTAATTTAGGGAGCCATTCCAAGGGTTGTCCAGTGAATAGAGTAAAGAGGTTATCAGATTTGCGAGGCATTGTGATGCTTTATATAAACATAGTCTTTATAGCTGCTTTTCATTGCCACTACAGTTTCCATCTGACAGTATAATAATGTTAAACAGCTTTTCAAGACATAAGCTGTCACTAAATTTCTTTACTGTACCAGACATGTGTTGAAGTATGTGGCAGGTGTTACAAATATTGATAGAAAATTTTGTTTGTTCAGTGTATACAGTAGGTACTCGAGGCCTTGTAAACGACTGGTAATGTCTTTGGTAATGTTTGTTAAAAGAAAAAAATAGCTTGTGCACTATGTACAGTAGAGAAAAAACTACAGTGGACCCTCAGTTTTCATGTTTAATCCGTTCCAGAGAGATAAGTAAAAACAGAAATCATCGAAAACTGAAACCATTTTCCCCACAAGAAATAATGTAAATCCAATTAATCCATTCCAGACACCCAGAAGCATTAACAGAATTTTTTTTTTTTTACCTTAAAGATAGATTTATATGCACAAAAGAATGAATATTAAACATGACACTTACCTTTATTGAAGGCTGTTGTTGATGGATGGAGGACAGGGAGGAGGGGAGAGGGAAGAGAAGTTATTGTTTGGAAGGGGAATCCCCCTCCATAAGTACTCTAGGTACTCGGTCCTTATCCAGGGTCACTTCTCTAGCTTAAATATAGATTTACATGCAGAAAAGAATAACAAATAAATATAAAGCACTAACAAAATGTATAAATGAACATTTAACATCACACTTTCCTTTATTTAAGACTCTTGTTGGTGTATGGCAGAGGGGAGAGGAGAGGGAGGCAAGCTTATTGTTGGAGACTGGACAGTATGCTTCAATATGACACTGTCAACTCTACGGCTTATTTATCTGTCACAGTTCAACTAATGATATAATAAACAATATTAATAACATAGAAATATGACATATACTCTAGAATGAATAAAATTAGTCATTATGTATATGAGTGGTGTTCTGCTGCTGTTGGGTGTATAAGGGCCACTGAGAGCATAAGCCGTACATGGTGGTGAAGGCAGCAGCAGAGGCGGCAGTGTTGGCAGTAGCCCTATATAACTCCAACAACATTGGAGGAGTTAGGTTCATGCTGCCCTTTTTCTATCGATTAATTGCTTAACTTAATTGCTACACTGTTAGTGCTACATTTTATCGCTGGCTGGCGCTATAGCCTTTATCGACTTATGCTGCTTTAGTATTGTAGAATCACTGAAGAAGGTACATTCTCCCCTCTCTCTTCCTCCACTTTAGTAGTTTACTACAATTTCTTTCTTTAATTCTATCATGTTCCTCACTTTCTTTACCAGAGAACTGGCACTAGGAGTTTTCTTTGGGCCCAGGGTGGCTTATTTAGCAGTCACACACAATAAACAAGTGCCATAAACAATGGATTATATGAAATGTTTCGTATGACCTCGCAGGACATGCTCACTCACAGAGAAACAGTGTGATACTGTCTGAGAATGCTTGTGGGAGGTGGCTTTGCGTGCTGGGCACAGTGACAGGTTCCATACCGTCGACGAAAACGGAGCCAATACAGTGGACCCCCGGTTAACGATATTTTTTCACTCCAGAAGTATGTTCAGGTGCCAGTACTGACCGAATTTGTTCCCATAAGAAATATTGTGAAGTAGATTAGTCCATTTCAGACCCCCAAACATACACGTACAAACGCACTTACATAATTGGTCGCATTCGGAGGTAATCGTTATGCGGGGGTCCACTGTATTTTGATGAAAAAAGTCGGCGAAAAGGGAAATCAGCAATAACAGAGATTGACAAAAAGGGAGGGTCCATTGTATTGGCATTTACATACTTTTTTTTTATTCAATCCTAACCTACTCTATCCTCTCATAATGCCCAAACTTCCTCAACCCCCTCCTTAGCAGTCTGAATTTTACCTTTGGTAACCCCAAAGTCTTATTTCTTTCTGAATTCTCTGCATCGTATTCACTTTACACACTGCTCTCAAACATGAAAACTACACTGCGTCTAGCAGCCTCACACCCATTTGAAAGTGTTAGTATATACTCTTGTACATTATTTTTTTTCCCCTTTTAAATTCTTTTCATTCCACAGATATCTCAACACCCCACTTAGCTTTTCACTGTGTCTATTCTGGGGTTCACCTAGTCTTTCAAAGACTTATCTACTAATATGTCCATTCCCAGATATCAAACTAAATTCACCTTTTCCATATTTCTTCCCTCTAATCTAATAGACAATCTTTCATTGTCTAGGTTTTTTTGTTATTTTTGTTACCTTGCTCTTTTCTGTGTTCACTTTTTTTTTTTTTTTTAATCAACAGCTATCTGCAAACGCAGAGTGACCCAGAGAAGGAAACTTTTTCCAACAAACCAGTCGTATCCCACCGACGCCGGGTGGCCCAAAAAGAAAAACCAGTTTCTCTTTTTAACTTTAGTATTGTATACAGGAGAAGGGGTTACTAGCCCCTTTCTCCCAGCATGTTAGTTGCCTCTTATGACATGCATGGCTTATGGAAAAAGAATTCTGTTCCACTTCCCCATGGAGATAAGAGGAAATAGAAACAAGAACTAGTAAGAAAATAGAAGAAAACTCAGAGGGGTATGCGTGAACACGCTTGTACAAGCAAATGTAATATAACCTAAGTGTAAGTAGAAGTAACAAGCTGCACTTGAAATCTTGCATGTTTATGGGACAAAAAAAAGACATTGGCAGTCCTATCATCGCATAAAGCAAATACAGACTTCCGTTTTACACTTACTTGGCAGGACGGTAGTGTCTCCCTGGGCTGTTGCTGTCTACCAACCCACTGCCTAGGAAGGAGAAAACTCATTCACCAATATTCACTCGATTGCAGTTTTTCCAGTGTGCTGACATAGCAGTTGGATTGCCCTTTGAATGAAACATCCCTCACATCCTCCCTCCCCTTCTTTCCTTCCTTTCCTTTAACCCTTAAACTGTCCAAACATCGATCTGCGTTGACGTGCGTAGTGCTCCGAACCTAGGTCTACGTCCAATTTTACGTGCTTTCAAATGGAGAAAATAAAGGTCAGAGCGCTATGCACGTCAGCATAGATCTACGTTTGGACAGTTTAAGGGCTAGAGTGCAGACACTGCTCTTCCCATCTTCAGGACTCGTCCGTCTAACTGGTTTCCCTGAATCACTTGGTAAAAATTTTCCTGCTCACAACGCAACAGCACATTCATTAACAACCACTTGTTTCTGTGCACTTATGTTTAACTTGCAAACTCAGGCCTGCTGAATGCTCAACCCCTAAAACCCGAAGCCTTATGTACCTCCTCCTTTGCCCTTCTACTTTACACCCAAAGAGTGTGTTAACACTCTCTTTGAGTGTTAACATCAAACCATCTTAACCCCTCTGAATTATACCTTTGGTCACCCCATATTGCCATTTAATTTCTACGCTACAAATTCTCTACCTGCTACTCATAACATCTCTTCTACCTTTTACCTTTATGCCCTCCCAAGTTCATCTACCAACTTTTGCAAGTTATCTTTAAAATGTTCCAAATAAATTATCATAGGCAGAGAGCTACTATGCTAACTTCCACATTGTATCCTATTGATAATTTTTAATCAGACACCTCTCTCTCCAACACCCTAGCATTTACTTTTTACAACCTCTGATATGTATATTACACAACTATGGTAAGATCACATAACCCTGCCTAAGACCTATTTTTACTGGAAAAGTCTTCCCTTTCCTACATCCCCTAACCTGGATATCACTACTTACATAATTTTTTTTTATACTGTTTTTAGTCGTATTTAACCAGTACATTTGTAGCATTTGCCATGTTTCTACTCTATTGGGCTTTTTCTAAATCTAAAGAGGGGACAAACAGTTCCATACTCTTATGTGTATTCTTCACTTTAATGCTTCAAAGTGAACATTTCCTCAGCAGAACTTCTACTCTCCATAAATTCTCCTTGTTGCTCTACAGTATTGCTTTGACCTTCCCCTAACTATTATTATAAAATGTAAATTCCTCTAGTAACTTTATTTTTCAAATTTGTATTTCAGATTAACTCCAAAAATTGGTTTCCCTTGGTGTGAAATTCGAAACATATCCTTCAATGATAGAAAATTTGTTATCAAACCCATTGACAAGAAAGCTCCTGATTTTGTATTCTTTGCACCACGCTTACGCATCAATAAGCGCATCTTGGCACTGTGTATGGGAAATCATGAACTATATATGCGCCGCCGAAAGCCAGATACTATTGAAGTTCAGCAAATGAAGGCGCAGGCTCGTGAGGAAAAGTTGGCCAAACAGCAGGAGAGGTAGGTTAATATTTGAAATAAATTTTTATCAGTTTAATGAATAAATTTTAAAAGTACTGTATTGTACAAGCCATTAGTCACATTTTTTCTAAACATGTTTAAATATTAAAATCCATTTGTCTCCATTCACTCCTATCAAACGCGCTCACGCATGCCTGCTGGAAGTCCTGTGCGAGGGGCTTGGACTTCCAGCAGGCATGCGTGAGCATGTTTGATAGGAGTGAATGGAGACAAATGGTTTTTAATACTTGACGTGCTGTTGGAGTGTGAGCAGAGTAACATTTATGAAGGGATTCAGGGAAACCGGCAGGCCGGACTTGAGTCCTGGAGATGGGAAGTACAGTGCCTGCACTCTGAAGGAGGGGTGTTAATGTTGCAGTTTAAAAACTGTAGTGTAAAGCACCCTTCTGGCAAGACAGTGATGGAGTGAATGATGGTGAAAGTTTTTCTTTTTCGGGCCACCCTGCCTTGGTGGGAATTGGCCAGTGTGATAATAATAAATAATAATGTTTAAATATACTCCATCTTAAGAGCACATACTAACCCAGAAAAAATGAAGATGCAAAGCAGTAGACTTACTGGCCAGTGCTAAACAGGTCCATCTTCAACTTTTCTTGCTCATATGTTATTTGTCTGACCTATTTTTAAAGCTGCCAAGGTTTTGATGTGTACTTTGTGGCCACAACACCCTTATGCCCTCAAGACCCTACAGAATACTTGTTTGGTATGTACTCAAAACTAAATAAGGGGGAAGGAGTGAGAGCAGAGCGAGCGAGGGAGGAGGGTGTCTAGATAACAACAGCTAGGCTTGGTGCATTTGTTCATCAGACTACTTGTTTAACAACCCAATTGATGCAGTACAGTAGTTACTGTATTCACATTTTATCTGGTTTCCTCTCATTTTTAACCCTAATTATGCAAGTGGATGGAAGTATTGGATACATAAAAAATGGTGGCCCCCTTCCCTCACTCTTCAAGCAGGATTAAAAATGTGTGCAGCTATAACCTGTGACTTGTTTATCACATAATAGAAGTTTAATAACCTAACTGAAGCTGCTGCTAATGCTTTGACTTACTACTACTACTAGTATTACTAATGCTGTGACTTCTACTTCTACTTCTAATATTACGACCACTGCTACTACCACCTCAACATTATGACAACATCAACTAGGGTTATAGAAGCTAAACACTTGGGTAGTTTTCAAAATAAGTTCCGATAAATGTATATGTTAAAGGGGCTGGATTTGAGGACTTCCCTAGCATGGACCAGTAGGCAATCACAGTGCTCCTTTCTTGGGTTCTTACGTCTGTTCAGAGTGGGAGTGGGAGGGGAAGTACCTATATGAAAAAACAACTGCAGCTGAGGCATGTACACTTGCTTATCACAGTCAGATTGATGCATGGTGTATATACAGTAGGTGCTATATTGATATATCCAGTATTTTCTAGATTCAGTACTGATTTTGCAAATGGAGGGAAGCAGGCAAGTAGTCCCTCAGGCTCAGAACATGTGCACACACAACCTGTAACTTGTTAATGTATCATGAAATATGAGTTTAACAACTTAAGCTGATACACATTAACCCTTTCACTGTTGGTGCTGTAATATTACTGCTTGTAAGCCAGTGTTGGTGCTGTAATGTTACGCCAAAATTCTAGCGGCTTCCAATCTTGCAGAAAAAAGCTTGCAGGCTTACATATGAGAAAATGGGTCTGAGTGGTCAGTGTGAGCACTAAAAAAAAATCCTGCAGCACACACTGCATCATGAGAAAAAAATACTGTGACTGTTTTTTATTTAAAACACCAAATTTGCGGTGTATTTTCGTACAGTATTTATGGTTGTATGTATGCTCATTTTCTTGGTGTCATTTGATAGAAGATATATTACAGAAATAGAGATGATTTTGAATGATTTACAGAATAAAAGTACATGTAGCTTTGAAATTGAGCTCAAAGTAGCGGAAAAGTTCAATTTTTGCTGATGTTCAATATAAGTCAGCTGGTGGGTCTAATATGCTTTCACAAATGCACTGATATTATTTATACCATTTTTACAATAATGCAGTAGTCTGCATAACAGTAAATCTTCTATTTTTTGTGTGAATAAAAATTCAAAATGGAAAGCAAATGTAATATAAGAGGGGCCTTGAGACGTGACTAACGAACAGAGAAAAATGTTATTTTAGTGCTAGGAATGTTTGTATTGTTAATTCTGGACCCTGTTTTGAAATTGGTCTTACTTGAATTTTGTATGAAATTGGCCAAATTACCAATTTCTGATCACTTTATTGAGTAGTTGAGATCTGTAAATGGGCGGTTTCTTGTACTCAGTCGATAGAACAAATGGAGTTCTAGTGTATAGCTACGAGTTTGGTCGACTGGAACAATGCAAATGGTTAAAAATAGGGCTCAGAGTGGGTGAAATCGCCAGTGCATAAATATTGCCAAGACCACTAATTCTGCGAGAGCATAATTCCATAAGTTTTCCATCAAATTTTGTATTTTTGGTGTCGCTACAATCGGGAAAAGATTCTCTTATCATTTCCAAAAAAAAAAAAATTAATTCTTTGTTCATATTTGCTAATATACAGGGCCTTAAGCCATCCACCAACAACAAAATACCTTTTATCAGTGGACTTCTAGAGGAGTCTAATGCAATGTTTGCAGCCTTCACAGACTCTCACAAAAGATCACTTTGACAGGGAAATATGGTTAAGTGGTTACAACCTTTTTAGATGCAACAGAATGAACAGGCAACAAGGGGGGGGGGGGGGGGTTGGCCTGTATGTCAGAGAGTCCCTCATCTGCACGGAGTTGCTGAACACCACAAATGAGGTACTTGAAGTTCTATCAATAAAGATCGAGAACCAAAACCTAGTCATTGTGGTTGTATATAAGCCACCAGATGCAACCTCACAACAGTTCAAGGAACAGCTACTGAAAATTGATTACTGTCTGGAAAACCTTCCAGCTCCATCCCCAAACATCATACTACTTGGTGATTTCAAACTAAGGCATACAAAATGGAAGAAAGTAGCAAATAATGTTATCGCTGAAACAATCCCCGGAGGTAGCACAGATGGAAGGTCACACACACATGAGCTACTAAGTCTCTGCACACTTGACCTTTTTTTTTTTTTTTTTTTTTTTTTTTTTCAACAAGTCGGCCGTCTCCCACCGAGGCAGGGTGACCCAAAAAAGAAAGAAAATCCCCAAAAAGAAAATACTTTCATCATCATTCAACACTTTCACCACACTCGCACATTATCACTGTTTTTGCAGAGGTGCTCAGAATACAACAGTCTAGAAGCATACACATATAAAGATACACAACATATCCCTCCAAACTGCCAATATCCCAAACCCCTCCTTTAAAGTGCAGGCATTGTACTTCCCATTTCCAGGACTCAAGTCCGACTATATGAAAATAACCGGTTTCCCTGAATCCCTTCACTAAATATTACCCTGCTCACACTCCAACAGATCGTCAGGTCCCAAGTACCATTCGTCTCCATTCACTCCTATCTAACACGCTCATGCACGCTTGCTGGAAGTCCAAGCCCCTTACCCACAAAACCTCCTTTACCCCCTCTCTCCAACCCTTTCGAGGACGACCCCTACCCCGCCTTCCTTCCCTATAGATTTATATGCTTTCCATGTCATTCTACTTTGATCCATTCTCTCTAAATGACCAAACCACCTCAACAACCCCTCTTCTGCCCTCTGACTAATACTTTTATTAACTCCACACCTTCTCCTAATTTCCACACTCCGAATTTTCTGCATAATATTTACACCACACATTGCCCTTAAACAGGACATCTCCACTGCCTCCAACCGTCTCCTTGCTGCTGCATTTACCACCCAAGCTTCACACCCATATAAGAGTGTTGGTACTACTATACTTTCATACATTCCCTTCTTTGCCTCCATAGATAACGTTTTTTGACTCCACATATACCTCAACGCACCACTCACCTTTTTTCCCTCATCAATTCTGTGATTAACCTCATCCTTCATAAATCCATCCGCCGACACGTCAACTCCCAAGTATCTGAAAACATTCACTTCTTCCATACTCCTCCTCCCCAATTTGATATCCAATTTTTCTTTATCTAAATCATTTGACACCCTCATCACCTTACTCTTTTCTATGTTCACTTTCAACTTTCTACCTTTACACACATTCCCAAACTCATCCACTAACCTTTGCAATTTTTCTTTAGAATCTCCCATAAGCACAGTATCATCAGCAAAAAGTAACTGTGTCAATTCCCATTTTCAATTTGATTCCCCATAATTTAATCCCACCCCTCTCCCAAACACCCTAGCATTTACTCCCTTTACAACCCCATCTATAAATATATTAAACAACCATGGTGACATTACACATCCCTGTCTAAGACCTACTTTTACCGGGAAGTAGTCTCCCTCTCTTCTACACACCCTAACCTGAGCCTCACTATCTTCACAAATAATGAGGACCTGATAAGAGACATAAGAATATCAAAACCAACTAATTCCGATCACAACCTAATCAAAGTCCAGACGTACATGCATAGGGGTCCTGATCAGCAGAATGCATGTACCTGTGAAGATGTCTTCACAAAATACAACTTCAACAACAAGAATATCAACTGGGACCAGGTAAACCATGTCCTAAACGAAACATGTTGGGAAGATGTCTTAAATGACATAGATCCAAACCAGTGCCTTGAAAGGATCAACTTCCTGGCAGCTGAAGCATGTTCTAGGCATATTCCCCCAAGACAGAAGAAGAGCAGGAGTAAACTGGAGAGAGAAAGACGCTCCCTCTTCAGAAGACGACGAAGAGTCACTGAACTCCTCAGGAGTGCTAGTATATCTGATACACGAAAGGAGGTGCTAACCAAGGAAGTGGAAACTATCGAACTTAAGTTAAATGACTCTTACAGGAACCAGGAGAGACAGGAGGAGCTTAAAGCTATTAGTGAAATTGAAAGAAATTCAAAATATT